TACAGGAAGGGTTGCCACCTGTCCAGGATTCACCCGGACAGTCTGGCTTTCAAGCCAGCTAAGCATCGGACACAAGATGTCACAATTTCAGGCGGACAGGGGCAACCCCAGGGTCCTAACAAGTGCTAGCAGGCAGTGCATCTGGGGAGCCATTGGCATGAATGCAAACAAAATGCACTTCTTGCACTGTAACGCATGGCGTGTGCTTCCCCGATCCCTCATGCCCTTGGTGTAAATGCACAGTGGCCTGGGTCACTCCAGCAGCATGCCATGAATGCACAACACACCTGCTATGTAAGGGAAGGTCAGGGTTCAGGGACTGATCAAAGCAGGGAGGGGAATGGGTGCGGTAAAAGATTAATCAAGTCAAGGTTCATATTGAGGACAGGCAGAAACATGGGGACTATCTCTGTCTGATGCATGTGGGGGATCTAATGCATGTCAGGTGGATCTATTTCCTCTAGGGGGGATTTGTTGCCACATCAGCATTATGGTTGCACTCAAAGGGCTCAAAGGTCTATGGTGGGCTATGCTGACTCTCAAATGGATGTGCAGGTCCTATGCTGGGCTGTGCAAACCCTCAGTTGGCCGCTGCGAGTTCTATGGTGGGCTGTGCAGACTCTTGGGTGTGCTATGCGGGGTCTATGGCGGGCTATGCAGAGTCTATGGTGGGCTATGCGTGGTTTATGGTGGCCTGTGTGGACTCTCAGGTGGCTGTGCGAGGTCTATGGTAGGTTGTGCTTGGTCTGTGGTGGGCTGTGCAGACTCTCGGGTGGCTGTGCGAGGTCTATGGTAGGTTGTGCTGGGTCTGTGGTGAGCTGCACAGACTCTCGGGTGGGCTGCACAGACTCTCGGGTGGGCTGTGCGAGGTCTATGGGGGGCTGTGCGGACTCTCAGATGGCTGTGCAAGGTCTATGGTGGGCTGTGCGGACTCTCAGGTGGCTGTGCGAGGTCTATGGTAGGTATTGCAGGGTCTGTGGTGGGCTGTGCAGACTTTTGGGTGGCTGTCCAGACTTTTGGGTGGATGTGCAGGTTCTATGGTGGGCTGTGTGGACTCTCAGGTGGCTGTGCAAGTTCTATGGTGGGCTGTGTGGACTCTCAGGTGGGCTGTGCAGTCTCACCAGGGGTCCTGCTTGGCCAGTCGGTGGAAACGGGTGGTGTGGATCCAGAGAAGGAGGAGAACATATTCGGCTGGCACTGTTAACGGTGCCGCAATACACAGGAAGGCTGCAGGGACCTTGCTGGGGACTTCGGCAGCCTTCTTGTGAACCCCGGCACCTATTTACACCTCCTGGCTTCATTTTCATTTTTTAGAAACGCAAGGGCCACATTAAATAACTGGCAGGTTGAATTCGACTGCTGCATGTATGGGGGTCTGATACCTGAAGGGGGATCTGATGCCTATAGGTAGGTTGAATGGTATTCTTCTGCATTTCTGTATAATGTATTGCTGGGATTTGTAGCCCTCTATTGCTTAAGGCCTGACGACTCCAAGAAGGGCGCTTAGACGAATGTTCATAACTAAGACAATTGGGGGTGGGGGTGCAAAAAAGTTTGTTCTGCCCGGGCGACTGTAGCTCTGGCTACGCCACTGGTGTCCGGGGCTCAGCTGGCCTTAAAACCGGACTGTCCTGGTGAATACCGGACAGGTGGCAACCCTTCCTGCACCATCACATGGCAGGTGTGTTGTGCGTTCATGGCATGTTGCTGGAGTGACCCAAGCCACTGTACATACTAAGGATGTGAGGGATCAGGGGCTGCACCTGCCATTTGAATGGATGGCTGAATAAAGAATTTCCCACACTGTTGTCATATGGCATGTGTGCTGTGCAATGCTGTGCATGAATTGGATGGTGATGTTGTAAACCTGCCCTATGTAGAAACGTGATCATGTGCTCCTATGGGAGAATGCAGATGTGTAATATTTCATTTGTGTATAAATCATTGTGATACCTAAAAATAAAAATTGTGAAGTACATTTTTATTGTTTTCCCTTTATTGTAAAGCCAGTTGTATTTTGTACAAACAATACAATATAGACCATTAAAAGTGGTAAAAAGAACATCAGGAATATGAAAATATTGCTGACATAAAACAACTGTTTACGTTCATAAATATTGTACTTTATTAAACTGTGTACCAAAAACCTGAGGATATGCATGTACACGCCGCTTAAGCGTATGCATTTGATGCACATGTTTACGCTATTTACTATGAAATCATGATACCGCGGCATGATCGTGTTTAAGAAGTGTTTTAGCTTTTCAAGAACTCCACACTTCAGTGCTCTGTCAGGTAGTTTTCTAAAATGTGCTTTTACTAAGGTCAGTGTGTTTTAAAAAAAAACTTTTTGGTTAAAGAATTACAACTCTAATGTATTCCTATTGTTGGTGTAAGTCTCCCATATGTGATTGCATGCTAAACACTCTTTTTAAATTCCCCCCACACCACTATTTGAATGTTGCATGCAATACGACACACGTGTACATAAATACAGAGTTATACAACTTCTAGGCATGATGCCGTTTCAGAATGCTCGTGTTTGCTTCGTAAATATGGTTGCCTGTTTTCGGCCCGTATGTGCGCACGCCAAACGTGTGCGTATTTGCGATAGTAAATCAGGGTCTTAAGGACTGCTAATGTCAGCATCCACAATGCAGAGCTTCAGTTTTGATTAGGGATGTCCCGATACTAGTATCAGTATCGGGGCCTATACCGGGCATTTTCACGAGTACTTGTACTCGTGAAAATGCCCCGATTCTTAAGGCTTATACCTGTATTGTGCTCTGGAGGACATGTGTATTGTGCTCTGGGGGACATGTGTATTGTGCTCTGGAGGACATGTGTATTGTGCTCTGGAGGACATGTGTATTGTGCTCTGGAGGACATGTGTATTGTGCTCTGGAGGACATGTGTATTGTGCTCTGGAGGACATGTGTATTGTGCTCTGGAGGACATGTGTATTGTGCACTGGGGGACATGTGTATTGTGCTCTGGGGGACATGTGTATTTTGCTGTGGGGGACATGTGTATTGTGCTGTGGGGGACATGTGTATTGTGCTCTGGGGGACATGTGTATTGTGCTCTGGAGGACATGTGTATTGTGCTCTGGTGAGAAACTGCCCTAAAATCATTAGTCTGTGTTGTTTTAGCAAACATTTCACATGTCCCTTTAAGAAAAAGTATCGGTATATGGTAGGGATGCACAGATACTTTTCGAGTACCAATTCCGATTCTTGGCATTTTCATGAGAACTACCAGGGTTGCAGCGGTTGCAGCTGGGACCTGGCTCTTGCACTCCACCACTGTCCTGAAATCATTGCTCTGTATTGTTTTAGAAAAACTGTCCCATTACAATAAACAAATATGTATCAGTACTCCTACTTGTAAGTACTCAGCAAGTACTCGTACTCGCAAAACTGGTATCTGTGCATCCCTTTATTTATAAAAACAAAATCGTACATTAAAACAGAGATGTACAAATCCCAGGAGCTCCGTGTGCTCCTTACAAATGACAGCTGCCTCCTAACTTTTGAATTTTTCTCTAGTCTAGTCTTGGAGCTCAAAAGTATCGGTACATGTACTCGTACTTGGTATCTGTGCAACCCTAGTATATGGTATTGGCAAGTACCTGAGGAAAAGTACTTGTACTTGGTCTTAAAGTGGCATTGGGGCATCCCTAGTTTTGATATAGGTATTTCTCAATATAAACAAATAAAAACAAAGAATTTTGGAGGATATTGGCAGTAGGGTCACTAAACGGATGCAACAAATGACTCTTTATGGAGTAATCTACACAAGTAGCATGTAAAACCATCTTGTGATCAATCGCACATAACTAAAGCATTGTGTAAGAATTCAAGGTTGTTCTCCAGAGGATGAACACAATAGCCAGGCAATCAGCATTTTCATTGAGGCAGCTTCTTAATCAACCTAGCATATGAAGAGAGGAAGATTTCTTGCCACCAGCTGACTCCAAGTCTGTTTTTGATAACTAAGCCTCTTATGGTCTAGATTTACTGGTCCTTTAAAAAGAAAAAAAGTGTGGTCTGTAATGAGCATTTGCAATGCTCCTAATATTTTATTTGCAGATTGTGTTCCCCATTGCAAAGTAGTTACCACTACAATCTGTATAATAAACATGTTTATCTTCGTAAAGAAAACATTTGCAAATGGAGGACCATTCTCCTATGTCATCGGGGATACTCTTCCTGTTGTAAACACCACATTCCTGAACATAACCTTTTTTATTCCATTAAAGAGCCATAGTTTTTACCACAAATCTCCACTGCCCATCATAATTGACTCTAAGCATTAGTAAGGATCTCTTGCTCAATACTTTCTTGTAGCTCTTCCTCTCTCCTCATTGTTAAGTGTGTTATTTTCCCTGCAGCCTCTTGCTAGAAGGAAGGAGGTCTTTTTATTCCTTGATGTTATTACATTCCTTCTGACTTCATCTGTAGTAATTGAGTTTGGCAAATTGAAACATTTTAACAGTCCGATGAGGATTTCGACCCAAACTCTGGTTACATCTGCCTGAGAAGTGTGGAAGCATCTTCACTTACAGATCCAATCAGAGAAACTTGGACACGATAATAAAGACAGGAATAGGCAACTCAGGGGACAGGGCATTTCAAACTACCTAGAAACAGCTTGGGCAGAGAAAACAAAAAATTGGAACTGTAAACACAATCTATTTGAACAAAAAAATAGATACAGAAGATCTACTTTATTTTATTCTTAAAATCTGCAAGACTGGATAGATCAGTATAGCTTTTATAGAAAAAAAGGCTTTGAGTTAAGGCTTTAATAATGTATGATTATTAGCTTGGAGAATTCTCTTTTGCTTTTGTTAAAGCTCCAAAGGTTCTAAAAGACGTGTCCGTTATTAAGGCTTTTCCAGAAGCTATATAACAAAAAACTGATCTCCAAGAGAAACACAGCTGGTAAAAGCAGACTTGCAGAATTTGCATTGGAGAAAAGCTCGGTGTAAAAGAACTATGGGTTTTGTCACTGACTTCTTTACTTATGAAACAACCAAATCAGTGGTGGTTAAAAGCTGGACTATTGGAATCATCAACAGAGCAGTGCAGCTCCTAATTATAACCTATTTTGTATGGTGAGTAATGTTTATGTTTTACACTATATTTGTATAGATTTTTTCAGGTTTTTTTATATAACGATGGAAAATGATGAATTGCAAAATGCTGTAAATGAGTCAATTGGTGAGAGATACCTGGATGGTTCTTCTGGGTTACTGCATGATACATATCTTTCTATTGCTCTTTGCACCTATTAAATAGACCTGTATATATTTAAAGTGCCAAAAGGTACACGATTCTTGCTTTGCATTTCTATTTAACACAAATTTGATGCACGTGCCATATTGTACTTCTGTTCATCTCAATCTTTATCAAAGCTGAAGGTGTCCTAACAAAGAGGTTAGACACCCAAAATTAATATTTCAGCTACAAAGTAGTCTGGTGTGCTGATTACCCTACATTGAATAGCTCTTGAGGACAACGATGGCGAGATCCCCCTGCCGTAATTGCTGGCTCTGTTCCCAGCCATGTTGGAGTTTTGATTTGCCCCCACCCATCCTGCCTTCCCACTATTTGTATTGCATTCTGAATGATATAAAATAAATATTCAAGAGAAAGAGTGGGAGCCCTTCATAATTGGTGGATGTAAAACCCTGGGAACTTGGGAATTCACTATTGAAATGTAAGAAAATAGGTGGTATAATGTCACAGCATCTATAAAAACCTGAGATATTACACTATTAATTAACCCACTGCATGATCCCACACATAGAAACACATAACTAGCTAGCCATTTTAAATCGGGGACACCAGGTTCTACATACATAATAAGCTGACCAGCCATGTTAAGGCAGACCCTTTCTGGTCAGTAATATGGCTTTTCCCTCTGGAATACCTTAAAGTGCATTATTAGCACAGGCAGTGGTTAGCACTCCTGCCTGGCAGCACTAGGGTCCTCAGTTTGAATATCAAGCAGCGCACTACCTGCATGGAGTTTGCTCCCACACACCAAAGACATACTGTTAGGTTAATTGGTTCTTGTCTGAATTGGTCTGTGTATGCATGTGAAGTAGGGACCTTAGATTGTAAGCTACTTGAGGGTAGAGACTAGTGTAAATGTACAATATATAAAATGCTATGTAAATTGTTGGCACTATATGTAAATACTTGTAATAATAACAGCACAGTACATACATTTGGGCCTATTATATTTTGTAGCTAGTGTATAATTAAACTAAAGATGACTGACTTGGTCACCTTATCAAGTACTGGAATATGTGGTATTAAAGTGTATCTCTAGGCAAAACTTATTTTTGTTAGTTCTGGATAGAATGGGAAAGGGTTAGAACCCCTGTCACATTGTCATTGCTGTTTGTGTCCCCTTTAGGGAGATTCTAGAGTTGTCTACTCCTTAGAAGAGGTAAGGGGAATTCTACCAATGGAGACACCTGATCTGTGGCCAACAGTCTAAGAGGCAAATTTCCCTCACTTTGCATGATTTCCCCTAACCACATTATGGTCACTAGACAAGACTTTTTTCTTCAGTCAAGTTTATTTGATACTGCAGAGCTAAGAGTGCTCACTTTTGCAGTTTTCCTGATCGTCTGGTACTTGACATAGCTTTGGAGGCCGTACCTGGACCGCACTGTGGAAAAGTTGCAGGGCTGGCCTGCAATGTTACCTGCAGGCACTGTGCTCTGCTTTGGCACTGGGCTCTGCTTTGGCACTTTCCTGACACTGATGGGGGAATTTATCAAAACTAGAGCAGACAAAATCTGGAGCAGCTGTGTATGGCAACCAATCAGCTTCTCTCTTCAGTTTGTTCAGTTAAGATTTGAAAATGAAAGAGAGATGCTGATTGGTTGCTCTGGGCAACTGCTCCAGATTTTGTCTGCTCCAGGTTTGATAAATTCCCATCTGAGTGTACTGTTTTAGCTGCACAGTGCTTTACACGTCTAGGGCATCTAGTGGAATCCTGTCCCTGAAGTCCCTGAAGTATGCCTACCAGAAGGGTGAAGGATGTCTGGTATGTGCTTGCTAGTCCTGCCTTGGCACTTTTAGTATTGTACATTCTATGTGCCAGAAGACACCATCCAGACCAGTGGATCTGATCCAGGGCTGTGCACTTCTTATGGAACCTGCAGGTGTTATTGTGTTCTCCCCTTTCGTGGGTTAAAAAGGAGCTTTGTTAGCTATAACACATTCATGTGCTGCAGACACTTCTTCTCAAGGGCAACAACACTTTTCTCAAGTCTGCTGCATGTATCTCAAGGGCCGCAACAATATTTAATGTGTTGAGCTCCTCAATGATAGGGCTGCAACACTTCTTGTGCATCCCATACGGCATTGTGCATGTGCCCTGGCTGCTTATGTGCCACACCAAATGTGTACAGCACACACACTTTCCACACACTTCTCCTGCTTGTGAGGTGAACATACTGCTGGCTCCTCACAAGGCACTGACCCTGTCCCCCTTACTGCTGCCCACAGTTACTTGGTCACAGGCACTTGGTCACTGCTCTGCAGTTGGTCACCAGAAGAAAGAGCACACTTTTGCCCCAGCAAAGGAAAACTAAACCACAGACCGGGAAATCTTCTTCCTTTGAAGCTAGGCAGAGTTACTTTCAGCGGAAAAAAGCAACTGGCTGCAAGATGGCCGCGGCAGCTCTGATCACACCTGTCAGCGTGGGGGGGGGGGTGGGGGGGGGGGCCCCGGCCCGCCTCTCTGAGCAGAGGAGCGGCAGGTAAGTTCCCGTCCCCCTCCCGCCGCCGCCGGCTACCTTGCACGCCGGGTCGAGTAGACAGTGAGAGGAGAGCTGCACTCACTGCCCTTCCTCTCAGCTTTCACAGGTGTTCTAGCCAGGGCCGCCTTTAATATTGATTAGACCTCGGGCAAACATTTTCTTGGGCCCCCCACCACGCCCCCCATGCAATATTGCCCGCTATATGCTGACAGAGCAGCGCCACGCTGCAGCTGGGATGGATCCAAAAAATATTGTCCAGATCCACACCACCACCTGATTGACAGCTGACTCTACCTCTCTAGAGGTTGTGTCCACCCCATCCATCCCTCCAGTCAGCGTTGGAGGATCAGAGAGGGGAGGGGGGTATTCCTGCGAGGAGCCGTGACTGACAGTCACCGGTCTCTGCAGGAAGAGTGAGTGCAGGAACTGAGTGATCAGCGGTATGTGATCGCTCAGTTCTCGATCAAGAGAGCCAACCTGTGGCAGCTTAAGTAACTAGGGGGAAGATCGCATTTCACTCTTTCATAATTCTCCTTTCATGGTAAATGTGTGGATAATTCGCCACCTACCACTTTCACTACATAGTGACAATAGCAACAATAATAATAATGGCACCTGAGCATGTCCCCTGGTGTCATTATTATTATTATTATTATGTCCCCTGGTGTCATTATTATTATGTCCCCTGGTGTCATTATTATGTCCCCCCCGTGTCATTATTATTTTGTCCCCCTGTGTCATTATTATGTCCGCTGGGTTCCAACCTAGGCTACAGAGTCTTTGCGCATTCCTGGTGCACGTTTTTACGTGCGGTTAATGCGCATAAATCAAGTTGCGCGTTTTTGTGAGTAGATTCTAGCTCATTCATGTTAATAAACAAACTCGCGCAAAACTGCAGCAAACACACGTTTTCAATCGTTTCCTATTGAGTCTATGGGGCCAAAACGAGCTGTAATATGCCAAAACAAAGCTCATGTACTTTTACTTTTGTACTGGCGACAGGCATTTTACTTATTGCCTTATTGCTACAAAAGCTCACATGTGAACAGGGCCATAGAAATTAATGGGATTTTGTGGGGCATATTTTGGGAGCATTTTTAGGGCAGAAAAAGCTCTACAAAACGCTCAGTGTGAACCAGGCCTTAGGGCAAGTACAGACTTTGTGTGGTGCTACCTAATGACTTCACTTAGTGCTCCTTCTGAGAACGCTGGGGCTGAGGGTGTTTCCTTTCCTCTGCGCCTGGGTTAATGGTCTCTTGCAGCTTCGCTTTGAGATAAAATTAGTCTTCTGGGGGCCATTCCTCCCATTTACTCCAGTTAGAAGGGCAGCTCTTCTCTGATCCTGGGTGGTCTCGTCCTGGCCTGGTGGGGTGTGATTAGGTTGGATCCTTTCCTTTGCAGAGTCCTGTGGAGCCACACTCGTGTGTGCTAATAAGCTGTATGTATCTCTACAAACACATACAGGTATATTCACAAAAGGGTGAAGAGTTTGGAGAAGGCAGGAGAAATGAACAATCTAGGACAACATAGCTGAACTGGAAAGTGAGCTGAATTGAAGATTTTTTTTCCAAATCAGCTATTTTGGCCTAGATTGTTCACTTCTTCTGCTTTCTCCAAACTCTTCACCCTTTTGTGAATAGACCCCATAGCCACAGCAAGGCAAGCCACTCCCATCCACCTGCTCCTCACTTCTCCTTCCTCCCTTCTCCAAGAAACATGATGACTTGAAATGCTTGGGCACACATGTAAGTAGCTACTCTGCTGGACAATGTGTATTTGTTTGATCTGGATTCAATATTTAAAAAATGCTTGAGAGTTTAACACTACTTTAACCATCTTCCAATGCATACGCTTCTCCCAGCAGGGATTGGGGATGAGGCATCCTGTTTGGGGACTGGGAGACTTCAAAACACTTTAAGGCAGGGGTGTCGAAAGCAATTTCATTGCGGGCGACATCAACTTTTTAGTAATAACTTAATAACTACCTCTGAAAGTAGAAGTCTAGGAAAAATAATGGCAGTTGGTGTAATAATGAGAACTCTCCTGGTCATGTCAGATTGCATATTACCTACTTGAAGGGGAATTGTTTGAGTGGGCTGAAGATTTTCTGTAACTGCTATCTGTCTGAAGATCCTGTCAATTTTTATTGAATTCCTAGTCTGTGTTAAGGGTGGCTTACAAACTCCTCCTCACTTCCTTTTTGGTCTTGCTGCCGCTTTCCAAACTCTGTCCAGCCCGTTCCTGTGCCAGCTGCTCCAGCCCAGTGGTGTATTTTAGCAATGCAGAATAATATGAAGCTAACTCCTCTGTGTTGCTCCAGGGGTCTGGATGGT